GGACGTCAAACGGGACAGAACAGAGACACCTGTCTGCTGGCTGTGAGTCGCAGACAACAAACGACAACAGATGATAAGCGAGACAGTGAATGAGTGAGTCGTGTGCCATGTAAGGAGGAAGCAATGATGGGGAAATAGAGCTAGTGCGGGTCAGCAGTGGGGGCAGGTGGGAGCGCTCCACGGCCTGGGGGCTTCACAGCTGGGAGGTGGGACTGGAGACCACAGGGCGGCTTCTGTGGGGCCTGTGGGCTGCTCCCTCCCACCCATCTTCTAGTTTTCAAGCCCGATATTCCTCCTTCAAGAGAGCCCTGCAGGGCCCTCCATGTCGGGGCCCCCGCCCACGTACCCCAGCTGCCTCACATGGAGCCCTCTTCCTGCGGGTGTGGTTTCTCAGTCCCTCCCGCACTGGGTGCCCTGGGGTCGAAGCCCCATCTGCCTCCATGGTCTCGTCCTCACTGACCACACGATGGTGTTCAGTGTGGGAGAGGGTGGCTTTCTGCGCTGCAGTGTCTCCCCCCTCAGCTAGGAGGGTGATCCCCTGCCAGGTGTGCTGGGAAATTTGAACAAGGCGACCTGGGTTTCCACCATGTCCACACACTTGCTAGACAGCAGGTGAGACGCCAGCATTTCTGGTGCCCCGACACCCCTTTTTCTACATTCCAGAACGGCTGTGGGGAGGCCGTGTCAGTACCTTCCCCATCCAACGTGGGCGTCAGACCACCTTCGGGGAGAAGCCCCGACCTTGAGAAGCCCCACCCTCCCCCTAATTCAGAAGAGCCACCTTCTTGCTTCACAGCCCAGTGCCCCGCCCCCCGCCCGCCAGCATGCCCACTGGGTGAGGATGTGGTGCCCTCAATGGTCCCTGAGCTGACGGCTGCTCTCAGCCTTTGCTGTGGATGGATTGCTCCCCACAGGCAGGAATAGTCCTTATTATTTTGTCTCAACTATTCGCCCGCTGGCCCCAGAGGCCCTCCTCTTTGATCACAGAGCCCTCCCCATTGATTTGGTGTGGGGGCCCTGGAAGGGGTTCTGGCAGCTGGTCCACAGCAGCCCAGCGGCCACGGCATGGGTGCCACTGTCCCTCTGGCTTCGTCTCACCAGTGCTCCCCCGTCTCCATCTTCCCGGCGGTTTTCTGACCAACAGGCTTCTGATCACACTGCGCTGGTCAGCGGGACAGGGTCGAAGTGATCACACAGGCCCTGGGGTCAGCGGGAGAAACTGCAGATCCGGCTCAGGCACAGGCCCAAAACCAGAGCATCTCTGGCGGCCAGAATCTCTTCCTGTCCTGTAAATACCGGGATGATACAACTGAAATGCACCCCTGCTTCTCCTGCAGGTAAGGCTCCTGAGTGGGGCTCACAGCCTCCCCACACCACTGACATGAAGCGGGCACAGAGCTGGAAGGAGGGGGACCCTGAGAACCGGGGTGGACTCGACCTGGGGAAGGGCCGCACCAACTCCCGTTCTGACCCAGTCTGCATGCAGCCAGGCTTCTACGTGCCCCAAGGCACTCTACCATCGAGCACCCGCAGCACAAGACTGAGCCCACCCGGCCCCCCGGACATCTCTCTCCCCACATGGACACAGAGACGCAGGAACTGGCTGGAGGCCCCTGTCCCCTTGCCTTCCAGCCACATGATCTGCAACCTAGTGACCCTTACCCTGAGCCTCCGTTTCCTAATACCTGGTATCTCATGGCTGCTGGGGAAACATCGGAGGGCCTGGCAACGGCAGCACCCCTCCTCCCTCTGTTGGAGCAGCAGTGTAGCCCTCCAGGTGGACCAGGAGGAACACATCCCATCTAGGGGTCCCTCGGACTCCGTGCTCCGTGCAGGAGGCTCTCTGTCCTGTGTGTTCCCAGCCCCTGGCCTGCGTCGGGGCCCTGCCTCCCCTCACTGGACCAGAAGCCCTACTGGAAGGCTTTCCTAGGGGAGACAGACACATCCAAGAGCATCAGCTCATGCGACATGACAGCCTCTTCCTGGACACCCACCTAGCTGCTCCCAGCGGGCTTGCGCACGATGGTGGCCTTAGAGGGGCCTGCACCTGGGAGGAGGCGTGGGCCTGGGCAGGGAGTGTGTGCAGCACAGCCGGCGGAACCCCGAATCCTGGCAGCACCTGCACCCCTGCTTCCCCTGCTGCCAGTCACACAGCAGCAGGGCTGAACCGCAAGGCCACAGGTTGGGAACCCAGAGCACCCGCCAGCCCAGCCTCCTCCTCCTCACCCCTGTGGGCACACAACCTTGCTCTGCCTGCTTCCTCATCGTAAAAGTGGGGCCACCAATCTGACAGCGGGGGCAGGGGTGGAGTGGGCGGCAGGGAGCGTACTTGCCCTCCTAGAAGCAGGCCTTGAGCCACACTGGGTCATATCTTTTATTGAAATGTATGTCATGCAATCCGTCCGGAGGCCAGCCTGGCCCAGACGCCACCTGTAAGAGGTCCTGAGTCGGAAAGGCACGAGAGTTCCCACCTATTTTGACTGGGCAAGAAGAGAAACCCACAAAGTGAGGCGTGGCTGGCGAGCACGGGCCTTTGGGGTGACCTGCTGCAAAGGGGCCCGGGTGAGTGAGTGTCCCCCAAGCCTGCCGGTGGCACATGAACTGGCTCACGTAACCTGCCCCCTGATCGAGTGTGCCGGGAGGGACGGGGACAAGGCTGGCATGCCAGACAGGCTGGGTAGCACCGGGGACAGGCCAGCCTTGGTGGGATGGGGTGAGCTGGCAGAGGCGGGCTGGGGGCTCCAGGGCGTTGTCTGCAGCGGCCCAGCTGGCCTGGGAGAGGAGGCCGTTGCTGCTGCCCGAGGGGGGGGTGGGTGGGTGGGTGGGTGGGTGTGTGTGTGTGTGTGTAGGGGGCAGCGGCAGCCCAAGGCAAGGAGGCCAGGGTTGCACCTGCAGAAACTGGGGACAAGCTGCCCCTGGGGTCGGGCTGCACGTCCCAAGACTCACACGGTCCCTGGTTCAAGTACTAAGTGTTTTGTGTGGATGCCTCCCAGGTGCAGCGAGTCACCTGCTCTCGGAACATGGTGGGGTTCCCCCCAGCCGGTGCCACCTGGCCCTCCTCTCCTCAACATGCTGCTTGCCCTGGGGTCCCCATGCCACTGCTGCAGGGCGCCTCCTGTGGTCACCTCTCCCCAAGGGCTGTCAAGGGCTCAGCTCCCGTTCACTGAGCTACTGGAGAGAAGTCTGCTTGACGGAGTCTGTGCTGAACTTGTTGGGGGGGGATGCGTGGTGGGGAGGGGGTGATGCGGGAGAGAGTGGGAAAAGGTCCAGCATCTCACTCTCAAGCCCACAACCCATTCTCTCCCTAAACTGTGCCAGAAGGGGGCGCCCCAGCCCTGGAGGGGACCCGGCAGCTGAGCCTACCTCCTGCTGGCACGGCGGGGCTTCCCCACCTCCCCCAACAGCCCTGTGCAAACAGAGCTGGGCGCACGGTGGGAAGCAGGGGGGTGCCCTCAGTCCTCTCTGGAATTCTGGAGGCCAGAGTGGGGCTGCGGGGGTGTGACGTGGGAGAGGTGAGGGTGGGGCGCTGAGGATGTGACTCGCGGGAACGTGAGTGGAGCTGCCCTGGCCCTCGGTGGGAAAGGTCTGTGCACGAGCGTTGCACAGGCTGCTGTACCACAGGCCGCTGTGGTGCTGGGGGGCTCAGTGCCAAGACTGGGAGTGGACAGGTTAGTGGAAAAGGGACACAGGCCAACGCGTGCTGAGTCAGGCAAGGGAGGGGTCCCTGTGGCAACCAGCCCACCCCTTTAGAAGCCTGGAGGGACCTCCTCTCCTCAGGCGTCCACCATTAACTAATGTCCCAGCCCCAAAGGGACTGACTCCTGGGCTCCCCTCCAGCCCCACAGAGAAGCACGCATGGAGCTGATATCCTGAGCCCTAACTAGCCTCCAAAAGGAAGCCCCCAGAAAGGCTGGCCCCACAGAACAAAGGGGACGCCCCCCAGGCTGTCTCCAGGAAGGCTGGTTTGGGAGGGGCCCCAGGACACCTGAGGTCGCAGAAAGGGAAAGACTCCGATGTCTGGCTCCACAGAACCCTTTCTTCCTCCTGAGTGGGGAGGATGGTTCATGGAGGACACTCTCCTCCCTCCCACCCCAGCTCGGAAGGGTCCTGAGAAAGCCCACCCACAGGGGCACCAAAAAGCCAGTGAGGGGCAGGGACCCCAGTGATGCCCAGGCTGGAAAGGGGAGGGCACTGCGGGTGGGGCCTGTTTCCTGCAGAGCTGACAGATGGGGGGTCAGGAGAGACACCAGGCACCCCATCAGCCTCTCTCCGGGGCACAGCTCCACACTTAGCGTCCTGCTGTGTATGTGTGTGTGTACGTACGTGTGTGCGTTGTGTGTGCATGCACATGCAGCTGAGCCTGGCCGGCGCCCAGTGCACTGGTTCTTGGCCTCGCTCTGCAGGGAGAGCGGCCCCATCCAGGCCAGGCACGTGGTTGGAGCAGGGGCAGCACGGTGGTGGTCACGCCCACCCAAGAGGACACCCTGGGAATCGGCACACAAGACTCCTTATTGCTCGCCCAGCCAGGGGTGCCCTCCCCTGTGGAAAGGACCCAGACCAGGCAGGGCCCTAAATCAGCCCCTCAGAGAGCAGGGAACAGCAGGTGGGACCCAGATGGGCCAGAGGGACAAGCTGCTGGGTCCCAGTCCTGGCTAAAGGCCCTCCTTGGTCAGGTGGGACCTGAGAAGCAGAGTGCTGTCTGCAGAGTAGAAGCAGCCCGGACCACAGCCGCCGGGCCTCCCCTTCATCACAGCAGCTGGCCCACTGCCCATCCACAGCCAGCCTCCTTCAGGGGCTGCAGACCAGCGTCCTTACAAAAATAACTCTGAGTCTGTCCCCCTACAGGGACCAGGATTCCTGAGAGCACGCAGAGGCTGGGGCCAAGGCGCAGAGGGAAGGGCGGGCAGTGGAC